AAAATTAGTTGCTACCTGTATCATAATAAGTTTAGTTTTGTCCAAACAAGCTAAGTTGGAAATACTTTTACAGTAATTTTTCTATTTGTAAATCTTTGGGAGCATTTACCAGTTTCTAGAATTCCAGAGCCCTTCACAAAGAAATCTACAACAAAATTATGTTTCAATAATATCTTCATAATTTTCTCAGCACCTCTTCTTAATTTTAGTTACAATGCTCACATAGAGTTTACATGGAAATTGCCAAATTAAAGACAAGAGATTATGAAGACATTGAGAATTTTAAATTCTAGAATACATTTTAAAAACTTTAATCAAAACGTTTTTTTGTTGCGAAGTAGGTGGTGGAGAGAAATCTAAGGGAAGGGGAGGGGACCCATCTGGTGGGTTGAGAAGTAGTCTTAACTGCTGAATGCAAAACCGATCGCTTTTCAAAACGTTTTATGGTGGATTAGGTGCTCCTTTATAGAGCAGACCAATTGTCCGCTCACTGCTTCTTGCATTATTTTATTTCATCTTACGGATTGCAATTCCCATGATGCGACATTACTTGTTCTCTGTGTTTGTTCCCATTCTTCTGCCTTCCTCACCCTTCTGAGCTTGTTCCTTGGGTAAAGGCTGCCCTTTGCACGTAGCTGGTTGACTGTCCTCGGGTGAGCTCACCTAACTCGTGCTGTTGGACACACTGACAACTGTTTGGCTGAAAAGTGAGCTCCAGGGGTGAGTTCATTTCCACACCGAAAGTTTACCTAAGAGCCATAGTCTCAGGCATTCCACCAGTCTCTATCAGTAAACTTGATCTTTTAAATTTTTCATTATTTTGAGTTTTGTTCCACATTTTCCTCTTGCTGTACCCAGGACCCTCTAATACAATCCCTTCCGGAGCAGGTGGTTCCGGGAGCCACGTACCACCTCGCTCTCCTGGTCTCTGTGATGGGGGCTGATGTTCGTGTAGTCCAGTAGTGTACTGGACTGAGTGCTCCCACGTGCCTTTAGTTTTTATCCCTCCTCTTTCCGCGCAACAGGGAGAGACTGATCGTTGCACCTGCAATGGCCACTCGTAAGCTTTTAAGATCCAAGTCACTGCTCACCAAATAGTCTGTCGAACCTTGGTGTGTGAGCTATGTGATGTCCGTGGATTTTGAAGAACCCCGAGACGATGGTGTTGAGTCTGCAGGTCCGACAACGTAGTCCCTCAAGAGGTTTGGTCATGTCTAAGAAGATTTTATAGCTTGTTCTCTTGCACATTTTCACCGAAGTGGATGCTCAATTTCTGACATGGCAGCTAAGGAAATGATGAGGCTAAAGGAATTTTCTAAGAAACAAGCAGTCACATATATTCTGTCTATAGGAGCAAACTAGTATCAGTCTGTATTACCTCTCAAAGCTTGATTCACACATAGAGCCTTTGTTCCGTGTTTTCTTTTCTCTGAAACAAAAAGTAAAAAGTTTCTTTTATTCTGTTGATATGACTGAGAAATAAGCTTAGGAAGAGAAAGTTGTACACTGTAAAACAGTGTTAGAATGATAGTTTTTATTACAAATATTAATAAATGTAATAATTTTATTACAAAAATTAATAATTTCAAGCTTGTTGATTAGCAGTTTAAAATTCACTTCAGTGTTTTGGAAAGTTTGATACCAAGTCTGTTTTGACTGAACTGGAGACGCAGCCGTAGGGTTTCTGAAATGCCTAAGGTGTCTTTCTCAACAATTAGGGAATTTGGAGATTATCTTTTATTAACGATGCTCAAATTTTTAGTGCAACATTAGGTATTACTGAAGCATTTGAAGGCCGAGTGTTTCAGTTTTCAATCTGGTGTTAAGTATCATATTATGTGTATTAAATTACTTATTTGATACTCTCTAGTTGTATTTAAGAAATACAGTATTAAGCGAAAACCAAAGCTTTTGATTTTATTATTGAACTGTATTTCATTAACCTGTGTTTAATTTAGCCTATAGCCTTTTTATATTGGATTTCTGAATTGGCTATTCAAAGAAATCATATTCTTAATAAAGTCCCATACTGAACTTGTATAAAGTTAATGGTATTTTTATTTTATGAATATATATACAGATGTGTTTGTATCAGTGATAAAATTTATTAACTGGGTAATTTAGAAGATTATTTTGTTCTCAACCCAATGACTCATTTGAGATACTTCACATATAATGATTTTTAGCTATGACAGACATAAGTTATTTTGTATAGCTGAGTGTCTGAATCCACAGCTCATGGTAAATGCAGTAAGTGGAAAAGTAGTCTGGGGTTTATGCTTTATTTAAGGCGGAAGGAGTTTTTTGTTTTTTATCAAAGCTTGCTAATCATTCTGTCTTTAGTGCCATTCCGAGGTCTTAGAGGTTATTGTTAGGAGTCATTGAATCCGTTCTGACCCATCCCTTTAGGTGCTGGTGGATGAAACTTACCTAGATCAGTGCATGTGAACACTAAAGTGGATGGAGAAACTGGGTAGTAATTACCCATTTAAGTCATTATCAATTAGTTTGATCTATACATCAAAGTTTCATAATGTTTATATATAGTTTACATACTTTGCTTTGCCACCCTATCCACTATTTAACATGTTTCCTGGACATTGATTTCTGTCAAATTAAAATATATAGAAAAATATCTCAGTAAAATTTAAGAATGGCATTCCAGAGTCATAGAAGATTGACAGTGTGACAGGAAGGAATGTAGAAGGACTCTGTGTTTCAGCCCCCCCGCCCTGTACCAGGCAGGGTGTTATAAGCTAAAGTCGGCATCGTTGTTAGGTTCCATTGAGTCAGTTCCTGCTCGTAGAGACCCTCTGTACAGTAGTGAAACACTGCCTGGTCCTGCATCCCGCTCACAATTGTTCTTAAGTTTGAGCCCATGGTGGCAGCCATTGTATCAATCCATCTTGTCCTTCCTCTTTTTTTCCATCAATCCGTCAAGGGTCTTCCACTTTTTTGCCACCCCTCTACTTTACCAAGCATTTTTACAGGGATTGCTCTCTCCTGATCACAGGCCCAAAATGTGTGGGATAAAGTCTCACCAACCTTGCCTCTGAGGAACATTCTGGCTGTACTTCTTCCAAGACAGATTTGGTTGTTCTTTTGGCAGTCCATGGTACTTTCAATACTCTGTGTCAACATCATAGTTCAAATGCATTGATTCTTCTTGTGTCTTCCTGATACATGCATGTAAGGCCATTGAAAATAGCATGGCTTCGGTCAGAGTAAGTATACTCAAATCCTTCTAATGCACAGGCAGGTAATTGACGTACTTCAAGCAGGCCAAGTGTTAGCTGGTCATTAGTAGGGTGAAAGTTTCATTGTCTTTTTAACCTCATGTAGTCCGAAGAAAACTAGGCTGATTTAGATACTGGGAATTGTCAGTTTGTATCTCTGACTCAAACGAATCCTGTCTGTTTTGTGTTCTGAATTTTCTTCACTACACAATGAACATGTGAGATAAGAAATTCTAAAATTCCTCTAAATGATGATATTTGAGATGCAATTTGACAGCTAGCTTACCCGTTGTTTACAAGAGGTAGGTTGCAGTTCATGGAGCCCGCGTGGCACAGCAGGTCCGTGTCAGGCTGCTGAGTGAGAGACTGGCAGTTTGCACCCACCCGTGGCTCCAGGGGAGCAGGGTGAGGCAGTCTCCTTCCACAGAGACTTATAGCCCGGGAGCCCCTGCAGAATAGCTTCCCTCTGCCCAGAGGCTCCCGCAGTCACACTGCACTTGGTGGCGGGTTGTGGTGGTGGTGTTCTGAGATGCAAGTCCCTCAAATCGCTGTTATCCTTCTTCAGGGCAAAGAGCAGCTGTCATCTGGAAACCCTTCACGCCCACCCGTTGTACCCACTGTCCTTCCAATCAGGCAGATGGTTGCCTCTTCTGCCGACTCCTCTCGTGCCTCCCTCCTGGGTGATTTTGGTC